GGGGGGAGTCCTTGGCTGTTGAGTATTTTGTCTTTAAAAAGTAGGAAGTTACATTATATTTGCAAAAACTGAAGGCGATGGTAAATGATTTGAATATACCATTGAGTACAAGTATTCATTGTAGGATTAAGACAATGAAGACCTTACCACTCTGAATGGCCTCACTTAATCTGACATTATTTGCAAAAAATTAAGGGAAATTGATATATGTATATGTGTGTGCATTCTTCATTCTATATTGCACACATGCAAAATAGGTATTTTCAAGATAAGAATCATTTCACCTGTATAAAGGGTGATGATGATGTACTAAAAATCATCTCGACAATTAATGAATTCAGTTTGTCTTTCACTTTTCCCCCCCTGAATGTGTTCTCTAATGCAGTCTGGACTTCCTCTAAGATACATTACTGTTCGCTTTCATCTAATTTTTTGGTCTTTCAGATTAGCATTATCAATCTCAGAGTGACTTGATTGCTATGTTTTATGTTGTAAATAATAGCAACTTAAAAACTAAACTGTCTAACTCAGTGGCTTTTAACCTTTAAGCGGTACTGATTCAGATGGCAGGAAATGGATTAAGGTCTGTTAAAACCTGTTCTTTATTTAATCTCTAAAGCAGCTCACGTTGGCCAGCAGGCCGAGCAGGTAATCTCCCCCAAGATCAAAACCCGCAGCGCTCCCTAAATCAGTTTGCAGGAGCATCGGCACATTCCTGCCCATGCCATCCTTCATCAGAAAATTGCAAGTTAAATTCACTGGTCCATGGTATGGCGCCTTGTAAATACACTTTGATAACTTTCATTCATTGTTTAATGGAGCCTGACTGGGTGGCAAGGGGAAAAAGTGATAAGAATGAATTTCCGTGGATGCACTCTTTCCTCTGACATAAGCCTCTAGCCAGGGATGTGCTGCTTCTTAGCCGCCTGACTCAGAATCTTTTCTTGGGCTCTTTATATCAATTTTCACTCTTTATAAAATTGTTCCTTTTTTTTTTTTTTTTTTAATTCAAGGCACCAACCCTATTTGCTCTTAATGAATTAACATTTCTTTTGTTAAGGCTCTTTAATTGCATATACCATACCTACTGATTTAAACCAAACAATCTTAAATTTGTTTTCAAATCAATGAAGGGTGGTAGAAAACATGCTCTTACTGTCAGATGAAATACAAATTTTGGCCCTGCCATTTAAGAGATCTATTATCTCAAGTCTTTTAATCTTCAGTTTTCTTATGTAAGCCTTACAAGGTGGTTACTAAAAACAGATAAAATAAGGTGAAAAGAGGCTTTAAGTTGGGTCTGGTTAATAATTACAATAATAGCTCAATATCTACCTTTTTTCCTGTCTTCCCTTCTTCCTGTATTTGCACCGAATTTTAAGTATAGTTTCCAGACCACTCCATGTTGTTATATAGCTGCCCTCCTTTATTTCATGTTACCTAATTCACCTGAAGCACACAAAGGATGAAACATCCTCTTGTATTATATTGTATCACATGCACAGATTGTCATTCATGTTTCTTAGTAATCTACCTCCCTTTACTTCCTTTGTAAAAAATATTTCTTTCTCAAAGTTCAAGTTAAATATTGTCTTTGTAGTACAACATTTTTAGGTATTCTTCAGTCACAAATATTCTCCTTTGGGTTATCTTTCCTGTTTTTCACTATTTACAGTATAAAGCAGAGCAATCCCATCTTTCTCTTAAATTTGCCAGGTCTGATAAGTAGGAAGGACACATTCTGGTTAATTTACTGTGAATGCACCGGTGATTCCCATGA